AGTTTTTGTTCAAATTGTAGGCGAAAAAAAGAGCAACGGCTAAAGGGTCTGCCCCCCTTATGCTGCAAGGTCCTCAATTACGGCTTGCCATATAGGAGTCTCGAGGTTAGAAAAAAAAATTATTTCGGATTTATTGAATCCCAAAACTATTTAGACTCGTTGGTTCCGAGAGCCTTAAATAAATTCAGGGATTTCTTTTCAAAAAGGAATAAACCCAACAATTTCCGGCCATTCCTTTTTCAGATGAAAAAATATTTTTAACTAGCTGTGCCCGCGGCGTAGCTCGCGTATACAGGTTTTACATAAAGAATTTGTCGTTTAGGTAAGAGAATATTAAACGATTTATTTCATTACTGTATCAATAAGTGGTAACTAAATAAATCATTATCATCAAAGTTCTAAGTCGTTTATGATAGAGCTTCTGTGTAAACGACGTTACAAGTAGGCTTAGCCGGGGTGTACACAAAAAGGTTACGGGGGCTACTAACGCGGGAAAAAGCAACATAGAGTTGGCCATGTGCAAAACAGTCAGTACTGAGGTACACTCCTACAACGCGTAAAGTTTGACCTTGCGCTTTATTTACTGTCATCGCCATAACACACGCTCACTGTAACTGGGTACTGAACGCGCTTAAAACTGAAAGGAAAGTTACTTCTTAATAGAGGGTTTTTGGGCAGTGCTGCCAGATAAAAAAAACTCATTCAGCTCTAGGACAACACAAAAAGCGCTAGATTTCATGAAAACAGCGCTTTAAAAAAGCCCTAGATTTCGCGCTAAATTAACTACAAACAAAGTTTGTGTTTTTTTATATAATCATAATAAAGAAAACAACATTAAGTTTTTTTTCTGGCAATATTTTTTTGATGTATCTATACTTCGCAGGACATCGACTTATAATTATGGCAATTGCTGTCAACAGTAGTTAGTACTGTACGAACAATAAAAATGTCATTAATTGTTTTAAAGTGCAATGTATTTCGCAACTTAGTTTCAGATGTCAGCATCTGATTGCGGTTGCTACACAGTTTCTTTGTGTTATAACTTCTAAGTAACTTTTAACTTAGCTGTGCTATAAGCAACTGACTGAAACTGAATAAAGCAAAATAAATGCGTTGCCAAAACCATGAACGAAAACTTTAATAAAGGGGATTTCCCCGCTTATAGTCGTCGGTAAAAAAATCAAGTTGATCATCCTAAAGGGGAAGCCAGGAGATCCATAGCACAGGGTATCCTAGTTTGGACTCGTCTCCCATGCTTTTTGTTTTGTGGAAAAAATATGTTTGAAAATGATAAACTGCAAATTACTATTTGTGGGAAAAAATAATAAAGGTCATTATTATTATTATCGGTAATGTGGACTAACAGTGCTGCTATAAAAGAGTTAATAACCCGCTAGTCGCTAAAATATTGAAATGTGTGCTAAATACACCAAAAATCGCTGGATTAAGCTAGGTGCTAAAATTTCGAAATGCGCGCTATACATTCCAAAAAAGCGCTAAATCTAGTTCCCAAAGCGCTAAAATGGTAGTACTGATTTTGCGTATATTATAAATACAATATCACGACATTTCGTTGCAAAATTTTTATTTTTGGTCGGGTTCCGTTGTATGGCTTCGATGGATACAAATTTCTTCAGTAAGTCTCAATACGATTCATCGGCGAAAAATCTCAACACAGCAATTCAGTAAAGTTTGTAATTTGTACAACTCCATCTATTACGTCCTTTGTGTGAGAAAACATCCTTTTTAAATCTCTTTTTGTGTTTTAAGTATAAATATATTAATTATTATGGAACGTTTTTTTTTACACACAAATCTTTTTATTACTATTTCTGAGATTTTATGGCGCCATTGAACAAATTCCAACCTAAATTTCGAAATAATAATCATTACTTTCGATAGAATTAACCAATTTTAATAAAACAAAGGTTAAATGTAACTCGAAGATACGCTTTATGATTCTATGTTGCTTTTTCCCGCGTTAGTAGCCCCCGTAACCTTTTTGTGTACACCCCGGCTAAGCCTACTTGTAACGTCGTTTACACAGAAGCTCTATCATAAACGACTTAGAACTTTGATGATAACGATTTCTTTGAAAATAAAAGAATTTTACTTTAGACGTGATGCGTTCATATAATAACAGACAAATAGACAGACAGACAATTCTAAAAATTATAAAATGTTCTTATTTAATTATTTTCAGTTCCCCATAATGATTTTAGCCACTAAAATATATATACAATGTACAGAAAGAGACACAACATGTTATCATCATTTTTATTATATGTATATATTTAAAGAGAGATGGCGCTGCTAACATCAATTCTAAAAATAAAAGAGATTAATTGACGCGATTGATACATTATATAAAACGCAAGAGAACTTATAAATCAGTGCCTGCACAGTAAGCAATAAATAAAGTTTGACTCTCGCCAAAACCAACGCAATTGTTAATAGCTCTTTTAAAATTTGATTTACCACATAGAGTACTCGGCGGTAAAGAATAAATTGAGTTTGTCAACACGCAGTAGGGCAGCGAGTAATATAATAAAGATTAGCAGTAAATATGAAAACTCATCTACAGGACAAAACCACATTGCAATTGCATTACATTTTCACAACACCACCATCTATCGAAGAAATGGGTTAACTATTGTGCTTCAGATTAGTTAATAAGGTTAATATATTTTTGTATAATATATTTAATACGTTCTTTAATACTTTTGTTTACTGCGTTTTAGATATACATAATTATATCATTATTTTACATAATTTAACTATGATTTATGATATGATATTAGTTTAAAATGCACTTGATGACGCAAAGCCACCGTTGAGCAAATTCGTACCTATACTTCCCTATCCATACTTCAGAATATTTATCATAACTTTTGATGGAATGAACTGATTTTAATGAAATAAAGACTAAATGTAACACGAAGATACACTTTATAATTTCCTTAACAATTCTTATGATATAAATTAGTACTTTATACGTGATACGTTAACAAACAAACAGACAGACAGACAGACAGAAAATTCTAAAAATGGTAGAAATGTATTTAATTACCTACTTATTTTTAGTACCCCTCAATCACTTTTATTACAAAAATATAAAATGTACAGACATCTGCTATTTACAGTTTTATTATATGTATAGATATGTTTTGCAACGGCAAAGTCGTAAGCTAATTTACGCAATTGTTGCTGAGTAATTCCACAAAACTTTTTTGCCATCAGAGTGATGAATGTGACCATCTCTTCCTCTTCTTCTTTCACAAACATTGCTTTTCTGCCCATATATGGGTTATGATCTTCTCCCAATTTTAAACGATCCCTAATTGCGGATTTAAAGTCTAGCAGCTGTCTTTATTTTGCTACCGTTTCGTATAGCTTCTAAAGCAGCCCACATATTTTCTGGATTCTACTTCTTTTTTTTTCTGCACAGTATTATCCACCTAAAAGAAAGAAAAAAAACAATTAATCTATAATTTTCATGGTTATAGATTAATTGTTTTTTGCGCCCCGTATGATAATACCGCGCCCTGGGCGCGGAATTGACTAACTCGATCATTACATTTTATAACCTCAAAATAATACAGTAAAGTTAATTGGGTATTCAAATCCATTTGGGCATTAATTCTACAATATGTACTTAAGCATTAGAATATAAGGAAACAATGTGTTACAATATAAATACAAAATAGCTTAGCTTACCTCTTCTCAAAAATATCCGCGAAGTTATAAGGAACGCATGTAAAAACTTTCACGACGCGATGTTACCGTGTTAGGCCCGGTTTCCACCAAAGCAGAGAAGAGATGAGATCTGCTGCAAACCTGGCAGGTTATTTCCACCAAAGGGGAGAGGAAAAGTGTAACGGAGAGGAGGTGTAAGCTTTGTGTAGCAGAGATGTCATCTGTGAGAGATCGAAACCAATCATGTTCTGTCTACGAAAGGAAGACGTCATGTTGTTACAAAAGTTGTATCTGAATTTGCTTGAGGAAGAGGAATAAGAGGGTGAAGAAACACAATTAATTCTTCAATATTTAAATTATAGACTGCAACATAGATTCTGGATAAGAAACCATATAAAATGTCACAGTCATGGAGAATATGCCACATTGTTTCAAGAGTTTGATGATGAAAGTTTCCAAAAATCTTACATGGAACAATTTCTACGAGTTACATGATATAGAACCTGATCAAAATATAGGGATTGTTAATATAGCTTAAATAAATTTTAAGCTAAATAAATAAACATTAGATATGTGTAGGCCCAGAGATACGAATACGAATCTGCGGACCCCTCGTGTTATTGATGGTTGTACATCAAACTTAAATTCGGATAGTGATCCAACAGTACCGACCGCTCTAATCGGAGCTACAGGTATGCTGCGGGAGCTGAAATATGCACTCTGCGGCAGCGCCGCCGACTGAATCGCGAATCCGTAGCGCCGGGTCGGACACTTCGCAAGTGAAAAACAAATCAGACTGCAGTATCATGGTTAGACAACCGGACCCATATGGCTTCTATGGACACGAGGCCTAGATGTAGATCTTAAGAGCTGGATACCTATCTATCATTTCTAATAAACACCTAAATTGCATAAAAGGTGCAAGATATCTGGTACTTCATTCACTAATCTGCTTATCAAGTATGGCAATTACTGGAACCCTCCTGACACTATAATGGTATATACATGGACCAAATGTTAAACAAGAATAAATTTTAAAAACACTCACAACCATACAATCATTACATCTGTACAATTAAGACTGATAAATGTATTCTATTTTAATCATTCACAACCATGCAATCATTACATCTGTACAATCAAGGCTGATAAATGTATTCTATTTTATATTACCAAATAAGACAAATTTATTGTTTCTTTCATTAGTTTATAATGAAATTTCAAAAATAAAAGAATTAAAATCAGCATTTTTTATTTATTTTTAAACAATACAATGCAGTTGTTTCTTTGGTATCTAATTATAACTATCTTGCCTCTACAGTTGTTAAAATTTCAATTTGTTCTTCAAGAGTAGCAAGTTTTTCTTGTAAACACTTCACTATGTATTTGTAAGTCTCAACACTTTGTTCCATTTCTTTTTTAGATGCTCTGTCTTCTTCCATATTCTTTTGCAATACATCTACATGTTTCTTGTTTTGTGCAACCTGTTCCACAAGCCGAGTATTCAGATGATCCTGCTTCTTTACTAATATCCAAAGTTGTGCTTCAGCTGGAGTGTCCGATCTACATTTAAAGTCATCATTCATATAGTTATCTAAATTTGCCGGTTCCTTCATTTTGCTCAATGAACTCTTTATGTCTGCCATTAGTTCTGCTTGTGTCAATTTATTTAGCAGCCTGTCCACTTTAGTTCTTGGAGTGGTTACATCAGTTACCTATTCAAAAAAGAGATATGGAAAGTAATATGCTGTTTTACTACAATATGACCAGTTATTCTATGGCAATTCATCTGCTATCATCATTAAAATTATCTAGCCTATAAAAGTCAATTGTGGAATATGAAAGATGTTTTAATTACATTTGTCAGATTGGTGATTGGGGTATAAATTTAAAACTGTATTTGCACACTTAACTAACACAACCACATAAGGTGATCTTGATGGATGATCTTTTACACTATCAATTTTGCTGATGCTCCCACTTTGCCCAGAGTATTTAACATCTGTATGTTAACACTGCCAATTTTTGGAAGCCAAGCCAGATAAAATAGTAGAACCTCCAACATTTTTAATTTTCGAAATTCTTGAAGGTGATGGATTATTTTAAGCTACAACTAAATTGATCATCTGCTATGTGTGGTTATTTCATCAAATACTCTATATCAGGAAAAGACTGTGTGCTGGTGATTATAAAGACAATTACAAATAAAACTACTACTATCTAATAATAGTAGTTTATCTACTGGAAACTTAAAATGATGAATAATCTGGATAGTTTCTTAGTTAGTGACACGATTGTAAGAGGCCACTGACACACAGACACTAGCTGAAGATATGTCATCAATCCTTAGAACTAAGACTATCTATATAATGTAAAGTATAAAGTAGCATTGTTATTCTGTGATATTCTTCTTTATTGGACATAATGATTTATAAACAGATAAAACTAATATTTAGTAACACCCTAGCTTACCACTTGTTATCTTTTATGTCTATTTTTATATATTTATTTTCTAGTATGAAAACATTTTACGTAATTTCTTTAAAAGCACAACTAAAGACACTACTGGCTATACTTTTTCAAGCTCTAGAAACAACTCACTGTGCAGAAAAGTTGATCGTAACAACGTGACGTTGATGGCAATTCTTATGGTCACACATCAGTCAGCACAGTTAGTTTTGACATTTTTAAATGGATAATTATCTATTTTACATCAGAACCTCATTTGATAGTCAGAAATGCATGAAGGCAAAGTTTGCATTTGGAGAAGTTGGTACTTCCCTCTTAAACCCCATTTGCAAATAGGGACTTACTTTATTAGAACTGTTAACAGGAAACAAGGTAGGTATAGCATTTTCTTTTAACTTCCTCTGAGCGTCAAAATATTTGTTTTCAAAATGTCTAGAACATATCCTACTTCGAGTCCAGTCAAGAACTGTACACTTTTTTTTTAACATTTGCAGCCATTTGCTTCTTAATTCACTGTTGCTTGGACATCTGTAAAATAGAATCCATAAATTTCATAATGCCGTTTTTCCAACGTAACTTCACGAAATAATTAAAGCTTGTAAATCAAACTCACGCATGAAAAGATACACCAATGGGCTTATTAAATATTGTGTTTTTGCACCCTAGTATAGCGCAATGTGTATGTGACATCTTGTTTGTGCAAAATTACTTTTTCAATTCAGTGTAAACTTACTATAATGAATGGTTAAATTTAATATTAATTAATTTTCTATTTATGAAAAAATGAGTTATTAATCGAGTTTCAAAAAGTTATTTTATTTATAATATTTTTTTATTAAAACTTTAGCTTGGATGCTTGTCCCACAGAATACTTTTACTCCTAGCGGAGAGCTTGTCCTTTAAGCCATGTCTTCGTTTCATTGGGGATCTTCGTTTATATAGATGTTCTATTGTGGGTTTAATGTTTTTCTAATTAGGCAGAAAATATTTCATATTCTTCAAAAACACAAGTCAAGCGGCAGGGGTCATTATTTGCGATGGGTTTACTTTCATTGGCACTGTCACTGTCACACACTTCACTAACTAATAAAAGCCATTGAAAGTTAAATTGGCTGCATTCAAACAACATAGGCTTGAGCACAAAATATCGATATTTTTTTTAAAGAAAAATACCGATCTTTTTAAATAAACTCCCAATATTTAAAAAAATATCGATATATATGGTAGATATGGTAGATATTTTAAATCTTATCAATTTCGATAATTTATTTTAGAGTATCGAATGCGTCATCATTACAGCCCTTCACAAGTCCACTGCTGAACATAGGCCTCCCCCAAAGAATGCCACAAAGCACGGTCCTGAGCCACCTGCATCCATCGACTTCCTGCAAATCTTACCAGGTCGTCACTCCATCTAGTGGGGGGACGCCCTACACTTCGCCTGCCGGTACGAGGCTGCCACTCGAGAACCTTTCTTCCCCATCGGTTGTCGGTTCTTCAAGCTATATGGCCGGCCCATTGCCACTTCAGCTTACTAATCCGTTGGGCTATGTCGGTCACTCTGGTTCTACTGCGGATATCCTCATTTCTGAGTTTATCACGCAGAGAAACTCCGAGCATAGCCCTCTCCATAGCTCGCTGAGCGACCTTGAGCTTCCTCATCCGGCCAGCAGTGAAGGACCACGTCTCAGTTCCGTATGTCATCACTGGCAACACGCACTGGGTGTACAGTCTCGTTTTCAAGTTTTGAGGTATACCTGACGAGAAGATGTGCCGTAATTTCCCGAACGCTGCCCAACCGAGTTGAATCCGTCGATTGACCTCTCGGTCGAAGTTGGACTTACCTAGTCGGACTATTTGTCCCAGGTAAACATACTCGTCAACAACTTCGAGCTTAGTGTTCCCAACAACTACCGGCATAGGTGTGACATGGACATTAAACATGATCTTTGTTTTGTCCATGTTCATCTTAAGACCTATCCGTTGGGAAACACTATTGAGGTCATTGAGCATAGTGCTTAGGTCCACCAGCGATTCTGCCATAAGGACTATATCGTCGGCAAATCGAAGGTGAGTGATGTACTCGCCATTGATGTTGATACCGTATCCTTTCCAGTCCAGAAGCTTGAAAACATCTTCCAATGCAGCGGTGAAGAGTTTCGGGGATATGACGTCACCCTGTCTTACACCTCTCTGCAATTGGATAGGTTTCGTACTCTGGTTCTGTACTCGGATAGCCATCGTAGCCCTACTGTACAAGCACTTCAACACTTCGATATACCGACAGTCAACTTGGCATCGCTGAAGGGACTGCAGCACCGCCCAAATTTCGACGGAATCAAAGGCTTTCTCATAGTCCACATACGCCAGACATAGTGGCAAATTGTACTCCTCGGACTTCTGTACAATTTGCCGAAGGGTATGTATGTGGTCTATGGTGCTAAAGCCTTTTCGGAAACCGGCTTGTTCGGGAGGCTGGAAGTCATCAAGCCTGCGCGCGAGACGATTCGTAATGACTCTCGAAAACAGCACGTAGACGCGGCTCAGAAGGGAAATCGGTCTGTAGTTCTTCAAGAGAGCGTTGTCGCCTTTCTTGAAGAACAAGACCACCGCACTTCTGCTCCACGCCTCCGGTGTAATGCCACCATGGAGGACGGAATTAAAGAGCTTCTGAAGGACTTCAAGTACCGGTTTTCCACCCGCTTTCAGAAGCTCCGCTGTAATTCCATCCTGGCCTGGGGCCTTGCCGTTTTTAAGGTGCTGGAGAGCCATTCTAATCTCGCTCAGACTGACGTCCGGGATATCATCGGAATAATGTCGGATAGGACTCGCTCTTGGATCGTTACTCACACTTGCGTGTGGCTCCAACGATGACGTGTACAGCTGCCCATAGAACCTCTCAATCTCACTCAAAATCTCAGGTGCCCCGGAAACGATGCTGCCACATTCGGTCTTCAGCTTTGACAGTTGGCTCTTTCTGGCAGACAGATCTCTGGCAAAGACTTTGGAGCCTTGGTTCCGCTCGATCGCTTCTTCAATACGAGCTGTATTGAAGTTGCGTAAGTCCCGCCGCATGCATTTGGAGATCTGTCTGTTCGTATCTGATCTGTCGAATGCGTATCAATTTCGATATATTTTTAAAAGGTTGTGTTAATGACGAAACAGGTAACAACAAAAGGAGGCATAAAAGTATTCATGTGTCGTTGTCGTTGTTTTTTCGTCGTCCAGTCAGTATTATAAAATCTTAGGACCTTATCTTGAAATCATGGAAATGATGACGATATATCGATATATATCACGCGATATATAACGATACTGTTAAAAATATCGATATTTTTTTCCCAAGCCCATCCCAAAAACAACATGTGATGAACAGTTCCAGCTTGATCACAGTGGGTACTCGTTCGAGGATAAGTTGAGTAAGGTGTCCAGGGGTTTTAAGGTGCCCGAACTGCAGTCGATTTATAGTCGTAATATAGTCACGACTTGCTTCTTTCAACTTAGCGTACCACGGCTTTACAGGTATCTCATCTTGGATACTTCCATACCACCTGCCTTTGTTTTCTTGATCTTTCTTCCACATATCTTTTCATAATAAACGGTTATTCTTTCATATTTCAGTATAACAGTTAGTAAAAGGTAAAGGTAAAATATGGCTTATGTCAAGTGGATTTATTCCTTAACGTGCATTCTTATCAGCGATTTCATTTCCAGTAATACCTTCAAGTAAGTGTAAGTAAAACTTGTCGAAGTGTCATCGAGCCTTATGTGAAGGAATCCATATAAAGGCGACTTCAACACCCTTTTTTGACAGGTTAAGTATTAGTAATAGTAATGTTCGTTCACTGGTACGTTGAAACTTCACCCACCAACACGCTCAGCTTTGGAAAAATCTAGTAGACTGTAGACTTTAGACAAGCTAAGGAGGCCCGCCTGAAATAAACAGGCGTTTAACCAAGGTTCTAATGAGACTGAACAAGCCGCAGATCAGGATAGTAACAAGTGCCATCACAGGACAAAATGGCTCGTTTAACAAACATTTATTTATAATAGCTGTTAAAGTAGGGCCAATTTAATAGATCACATTTGACACTTCATCAAAATTCAACAACGTAACTTTGTAACGCCGGGCATAAAATATTATTTATTTTTTTGAAGTTAGTACTGCACAATTGCTTAACTTTTTGACAAAAGAAGGTAATTTTACGATTTACTTTCACTAATAAACCATTTAAAAATAATAAACAACTGTTCTAAAGAGAACTGACCATCGTTACAACTTTGCGTCAGTGAACCCATTTTCTTTTTAAACACTAGGGATGTTACCAAACAAAAAATCGAAAGTGGATAAGTAGATTCGAATGCAGTGATTGTGTACGTACTTGTGAAGGAATATTTCTCCATAACTGAATAACCTCATTGTGATCGTAATAAAACATATTATTCTTTTAATTAACAAACTACAAACATAACTACAAAAATAACTAAATAGAAAAATAATTGAAGTTAGGTACAATTTTAGGGATGTTCCTAGCTACACTAGTGCCTGTCAATGACGCCATGTCATATCGCCATTACATGACGCAGTCTTTTGTCGTTGTTTGAAGTGACTTTGCGTTTATGGTGTGCTCTCTGTTATTTTCTTCTTACCCGGCTTTTTATTTGACTGATCTTACTCTGACGTTTCCCTGGTTATAAAATGGACTCAGGTTGCTTAACGATTAGTAAACAAGAACAACAGTCTTGTTTTACCATGTCACAACGAGGAAAAACGCTAAACAGTCAATCTCGCGAACTAGTGGTGAATTTGTACAATTATTTTGAACGTGAATCAGTTAACGATGCGCCTCTATAGGAAAGAGGACAGTAACTCAAATTCTTAAAGAGAAATACGAACCATCAGGCTCAGAAGATAATACTTTACGTACACCGAAAAAAAGAAAGAGGGTCAAGAAAATTGATGGCGGTGATAATTTTGATGCTGTTGCAATTCGCAACCACATTTATGGATATTACTCGAGAAAAGAATATCCTACACGGAAAAAGCTACATATTGGGTTCGATAAAAGAGGCAGACTTATTTTTGGCGGTAAATCGTCTCTATCTAAGGTTTTAAAATCGATTGGCTTTAGATTTAAAAATCCAACAAACGGAAAATTCTGCTGGAACGCTACTATATTATTTTGAAGAGTAACATTCTTACGTCAAGTAAATATAATTAAAGATTAGGACAATGTCGTGTTTATTTACGAAACAGTTGAATGCAAACCATACGGTTTTGCGGACATAGACCGATGATACAGCGGCCTCTACCTCAAAATTTCCATCGGTTCAAGAAGCCTGCCTTATTATATGTCACGTGGACTCAACTTCTCAAGGTTTTATTCCAGGCTGCCTCCTCGCATTCGCGTTTAAAACTACAAGTGATTATCACCAGGAAATGAACTTTGAGGTTTTTAAAGAGTGGTTTGAGAAGCTGCTAGTCAGCTTAGAAAACCAATCGAACGTTATTATGGACAATGCATCGTATTATCCTGTACAAGTTGATAAACCACCAACTCAAGCAAATAAAAAGCAAGAAATTGTCTCGTGGCTAGTAAGAAATGGTGTGGAAGCAAGTCCAACCTTATTAAAAGTTGAGTTGTTAAATCTGGCAAAAGCGAGTAAGCCGTCCAAGCCCCGCTATGTAA